GAGAGATAGCATGGGGAGAAATGCCAGATATAGGTGAAGGGGAGAAGGCAGCAAATCACACTGCCACATGTGTACCTATGCAACTATCTTGCATGTTCTTCACAAGTACCCCAAAACCTAAAATGCAATAAAAAAAAAAAAAAACTTGCACATTCGATCACTTTCCTTACTTATACAATAAAAGAGGTGGTCTTTTTTGTTTTCCAGGTCTTGCCTCTATGCTCTGCTGGTATGCCACAGGGCACTGTCCCAGACTGTCTTTTCCTCTCATCCTACACTTCTTATACAATCACATCATGTTCTGTGAATGATCAGTATAACAGAGTTTTAAAGTTTGGGTCACAGATCTCTCTCCAATCATAAAAACTATGAACCTTCCAGACAAATGTACAGACATGTAACATTTCATGAACCTCCTGAAGCCACCCAAGGGCCCCATATTAAAAACCTCCTAGCTCCATGCTGATGACTCCATGTATAGATTTAGAGCAAGCTGGAGTGCTCTCATGAGCCTCAGGCTCAGCCCACTGAACATTTCCCATAAGTTCCTCAAACTCAACATGCCCCCAGATTAGACCCATCTGCTTCCCCGCATACCAGGAGTATCCACCCTTATCATCATTACTTGCCTGCTGCTGAAGGCAGAAACCTGGGTATAATCAATGATTCTTCCCTCTTGACTGATTTCCAAACACTTACTAGGCCATTGATTCCACCCTCTAAGCACCTCTCACACCTCTCTATTCTTAATTTAGTGTTACCATCTTTGGTTTAGGGCACTATTATTTTCACGTATATCTCCCTAGCATTCTCTTAACTGGTCGACCTACCTCTAATCTTGATTTTTAAAAAATGATTCCCCATACAGCATCCAGAGTGATTTATCATGAAGTGTGGCTGTGGTACCCACTTGGTTAAAATTCAATAGCCCCCAACTCTTTTCAGGTTCAAGTACAAATTCATTTCCACTGTTTACATGCACCTTTGTGATCTTGCCTCTGCTTAACTCAAGTTTCATCAAGTACCAATTAACAGTTTTAAAGACCACCTCTCCCTCATACCATCTCTTGTAACGTTTTACCTCAGCCTTTATTTGACCATTTCAATTGAATTACTAGTTTCCCCAAATGAACCATGTCCTTAATCGTCCCTGCACTTTACACACATTATTCCTTCTGCCTGGGTATTTCTTGACCTCTCCTCCCAAACTCTTTGTAATTTAGACATAACTTCCACTGAAAAGCCTTCTCTAGTTACTCCAAGACCGTACCCCATGACCATGTTCCAGGAATGCCCATATTTAGTCTTTTCAGAGCACTTAGAATACTATAATGTAACTGTTTACTTTTCTGTATCTCTTTCCCTAAACTAAGCTCCTTAGAGACAGAGACTACTACTTTTTATTTGTCTACACAGTTGTAGCACCTAGAACAATGTCTGGCATAACAGGCATTCAATGAAATATTGCCACAGAATAAATGAATGGATGGATAGATGGATGAATATGGACCATGTAGGACTTTGAGGAGTCTAATCAAAACAGCAAACAGGCTGGGTGTGGTAGCTCACACCTGTAATCCCTGCACTTTGGGAGGGCGAGGTGGGTGGATCATCTGGGGTCAGGAGTTTGAGACCAGCCTGGCCAACATGACAAAACCCTGTCTCTACTAAAAATATGAAAATTAGCTGGGTGTGGTGGCGTGTGCCTGTAGCCCCAGGTACTCGAGAGGCTGAGGCAGGAGAACTGCTTGAACCTGGGAGGTGGCGGTTGCAGCGAGCCAAGATTGTGCCATTGCACTCCAGCCTGGGCAACAGAGCAATACTCCTTCTCAAATGCAAACAAACAAACAAAACAACAAAACTCCAAACTGTATTTAAAATCTAAAATGTAGATAGCTACTCCTTTAGAGGTAAGACGTATAATCTTTTTTTTTTTTTTTGAGACGGAGTTTCACTCACGTTACCCGGGCTGGAGTGCAATGGCACGATCTCAGCTCACCGCAATCTCCGCCTCCTGGGTTCAGGCAATTCTCCTGCCTCAGCCTCCTGAGTAGCTGGGATTACAGGCACGCGCCACCATGCCCAGCTAATTTTTTGTATTTTTAGTAGAGACGGGGTTTCACCATGTTGACCAGGATGGTCTCAATCTCTTGACCTTGTGATCCACCCACCTTGGCCTCCCAAAGTGCTGGGATTACAGGCTTGAGCCACCGCGCCCGGCCTAAGACTTATAATCTCTTAAATGCACATATTGGAAAAGGGGGAAACAAAAATAAACCTCAGAAACATATTTTCTATTTTATAGTCTCACACCAGTTAAGATAAAGTCAAAAGTTTACATCCAAAGAACTGATGGAAGGTGCTCAGCTATGAGCTGAGAAGGGAATCACCAGAAGATCATTATGGCTGCACACTTTTCTGACTCCTGGCAGGAGGGTGCTAGGCTGCTTTCTGGGCTCTCACCAAGTCCTGGAGTTCTCTCAGTTGTTTTCCTGTCAGTCCCCCAATGCCCAGATCCTCCTCGTCCTCTTCTGGCTGGGCACTGACATTACCAGAAGATGGACCCTGTTTGATAAAGAATTCTTCATGCTGGTCCAAGAGGAGTCCATGGAGCATCCAGGCTGAGAGCTGTTTATACATGACCCCATGGCAAACGGCCAGGATTCTGAGCAGAGTGGAAAGTAAAAGGCTTAGAAATCTACTTAAAGAATACTAAACCCCACAAATGTCACAGAAGTCATGCTTTAAATTGTCAGAGGATAAACAGAGGCCTGGGAGTTTGATGAGTCATAAGGGAAATAACCAGTTAAGTTAAAAATAATTGTGCTATTTTAATTTAAATGTGGGTGAACTAACTCACTGAATTTCCATGTTTGCAGCCTACATAATGAAATACAAAATGTTCAGTACACGTGCTGATATTACTTTAGGGAAGACATTTTTTTTCCTTCTTTTATGTAATTTTCAAAACTAATGAGCCCTAAATATGTACAACTGTTTCACGGCAATAAAAAATAAAAATAAAAAAATTTAAAAAGGGACTTAATGGAGTCTCTTTTTGGCTAACAGTATTAAATTTGTTTTATTTTTGTTGGAATCACATAGGGAGAGAAGGTTCAATATGTGAGTGCCAGGTATACTTGAAAAACTATTATCTAGCAAAATCCAGAAACTAAAACAAAATGCAGAATGTTTGTTGGGGAATAGGATATTCAGATGGTCTCAAAGGATCACCTACTAGATAGCATATTAATTAAAAAGGGGAAAATGGACCTCCACAATGGAGCAGCACGTGATGAAAACACCTAAGCCAAGTGATCCATCTTCACAACATCAGTAATGGGATAAACTTACTTTCTGTGTCTTCTAATATGATGCAATGGGAAATAATGTCACCTAGGTAGTATTCTTTCCAAAAATGTTTAATCTGAATCTAATCATATGGAAATAAATAAAGATTGTGAAACATTATACAGGACAGAACTCTTAAAATGTCATCCTCATCAAAAACAGCAAGAACAACAAAAGGCAAGGGGGATGGCTCTAAATTAAAGAAAACTAAAAAGACATGAGAACCAATGCAGTATGTGAACACTGATTGGATCCTGGATTGCAAAAAAAGAACAGCTACCAAAAAATTTTGGGGGACAAATAGAAAAATTTAGATACAGTATTATTGAATTAATGTTAACTTTCTCGAATGTGATATGGAATTGACATTACATAAGAGAATCCCTTTTTCTTTTTTCTTCCTTTTTTTTTGAGACAAGGTCTTACTCTGTCACCCAGGCTACAGTGCTACAATCATGGCTCACTCCAGTTTCAATCCCCTGGACTCACACTATCCACCCATCTCAGCCTCCTAAGTAGCTGGGACCACAGGTACATGTACCATGCCTAATTTTTTGGTATTTGTAGAGATGGGGTCTCACTATGTTGCTTTGGCTTGTCTCCTAGGCTGAAGCTATCCACCCACCTTGACTTCTCAAAGCACTAGGAATACAGATGTGTGCCACCATGCCCAGCCAAGAATGCCTTTTTTCTAAAGTCATACAAGTTGAAGTATTTAGGGGTTAAGTGTTAGAATATCTGTGACTAGTCACTTTGGGAGGCCGAGGCGGGTGGATCACGAGGTCAAGAGATCAAGACCATTCTGGTAAACACGGTGAAACCCCATCTCTACTAAAACTACAAAAAATCAGCTGGGCATGGTGGCGCGTGCCTGTAATCCCAGCTACTCAGGAGGCTGAGGCAGGAGAATTGCCTGAACCCAGGAGACGGAGGTTGCGGTGAGCCAAGATCGCGCCATTGCACTCC